TTTATGATGAATTGTACCAACAGTTTTTATAACCTATATTTTCTATAAACAAAAATCCCAAAAACTTTAGGATACAAGGCTTCTAATCTGGTCTACATTTTAGTCATTTAGTATTTATTCTTTTTCCCAGTTCCTACAGGTTACATTGTGAAGCAAATATACCATTAGGTCTTGATTTCCTTTTTCTCCCTCACCATCCGATAACAAATCAAAGTGGAATGCTAGGAATTGGTAAAAAGAAAATAAATGAATTCTTTGTCTCACTCTGCACAGACGCATTGAACTCACATTTCCCAAAGGAGAAAGAAGAAATTCAAAAGGAAATAAGGGTCACAAAATATACAACCATCAAATCAAAATGTTTGAACTGCAAATTCAGACAAATAGCTCTACAAAATTCTGGATGATGTGCTAAGAAAAGAAAATAGTGAGGGCTAGATTTTAATCTAGGACACATAACACATATATCATACAAGTTTGCGGCTGCATTAAATAAAAATATGCCTGCTTGTCTGAAGTTAGAGTTTAGCAATTAGTAATCCATGTATTAAAAAAAAAATTCAGCAGGGCACAGTCGCTCACGCCTGTAATCCCAGAACTTATGGAGGCTGAGGCAGAAGGAAACTAGTGAGGCTTTCATGGTTCCAAGAGAACCTAATGAATGATAATTGGATAATAAATGAACTATGGCAGTTCAAGAGGCCAAATCTTCAGGTCACAAGATCGAGATCAGCCTAGACAACACTAGGAGACCCCGACTCTCCAAAAAATTTTAAAAATTAGCCAGGTGTGGTGGCATGTGCCTGTGGTCTCAAACACGTGGTAGGCTGAGGTAGGAGGAGCGCTTGAGCCCGAGAGGTCAAAGCTGCAGTGAGCTCAGATTGTGTCACTGCACTCCAGCCTGGGTGACAGAGTGAGACCCTTCTCAAAAACAAAAACAAACCAACTAAAAAAACTTTCACAAAGAGATGGCAAAATGGAAGAATGCCAGTACTTACATTTTAGGAAAAGTATCTAGAAAAATCATAAAAATTTCAGAATTTGAAAGGGCTAGTATAGAAAACATAAAGTTATAATAGCGAGAAAAAGAGAAAGGATGCTTATGTTTTTTCAGGCAACAGAGAAAGGGAAAGAAGACAGTCTCTAAGTTGAAAATAAAACGTTTGAATTACAGGAATATCCACAGACATATCAGCTGGTTTTTAAATAGATAACCTGTCAGGTCAATAGGAGCACCATGCAGCAGGGACTTCTTCAATGGAATAAGACTGGGTTGGAGGCCAATCCAAAGGCAGTCTGTTTTTAAGTGCCAAATGAGAATGACAAAATCAGAAGAAGTCGATAGGAAGAATGAAAAGAAATTATTTGATACTTTTTAAAAACCTGTCCAGTTTAACACAATTTGTCCTTACATCTGGAATGCAAAGATGAAGAGCCTCTAAAACTTTACCAGAGGAAAGAAAAACTACAGGAGAAATGATCCAGGTGCAGTAGCTCATGCCTGTAATCCCAGCACTTTGGGAGGCTGAGGCAGGAGGATCACCTGAAGTCGGGAGTTCAAAACCAGCCCGACCAACATGGAGAAACCCCATCTCTACTAAAAATACAAAATTAGTCAGGCGTGGTGGCACATGCCTGTAATCTCAGCTACTCGGGAGGCTGAGGCAGGAGACTCTCTTGAACCCGGGAGGCAGAGGTTGCAGTGAGCCGAGATCGTGCCCTTGCACTCTAGCCTAGGCAACAAGAGTGAAATTCCGTCTCACAAAAAAAAAAAAAAGAAAAAAAAAAAAACTATAGTTACTTTTTTCTGAGACAGAGTCTCACTCTGTCACCCATGCTGGAGTCAGTTCAGTGGCACCATGTCAGCTCACTGCAACCTCTGCCACCCAGATTCAAGCGATTCTTATGTCTCAGACTCCCAAGTAACTGGGATTACAGGTGTGCGCCACCAAGTCCAGCTAATTTTTCGTATTTTTAGAAAAGACAGGGTTTCACCATGTTGCCCAGGCTGGTCTCGAACTCCTAAGCTCAGGTGATCCACCCATGTCAGCCTCCCAAAGTGATAGGATTACAGGTGTAAGCCACTACACATGGCTTAAGAATTCTAGTCAGTTGAAAGCAAATATGGATAAGATTATGAATGAAGGGGATTCAGATTGTGATTTTTAATATTTATATGAGAAATATCATTGCTGAAACATTTCTCAGCATAAAGAAACCCTACAGCTTCTGTAAACAGTTCTTCGAAGTTCTGCATTTATAAGATAGCCAGTAATCTTTTTTCTATGACAAGCCTGGTAGGTAGGTTTGAAAGGGAAAACAAATCAGTTCTAAATCAAGCAAGCATAAGGCTGTTGTGCTAAAAAAAAAAAAAAATTCATGAGTGAACAACGAAAACTTCTCAGACAGCCAAATACCAAAAATTCATACACCAAAGCATCATAGTTTATACCAGCATGATAGTGATTAATGCATCCTAAATGCTAACCTCACAAATTACCATACAAGCAAGCAATCCAACTTAATATTAAGATATGGTCAGCCGGGCACGGTGGCTCACTCCTGTAATTCCAGCCCTTTGGGAGGCTGAGGCAGGTAGATCACCTGAGTTCAGGAGTTTCAGACCAGCCTGGCCAACATGGTGAAACCCCATCTCTACTAAAAATACAAAAATTAGCTGGATGCAGCGGTACGTGCCTCTAATCCCAGCTACTCGGGAGGCTGAGGCCAGAGAATCACCTGAACCTGGTAGGCAGAGGTTGCCTGAGCTGAGATCGTGCCACTGCACTCCAGCCTGGGCGACAAAGCAAGACTCCATCTCATTAAAAAAAAAAAAAAAAAAAAAAGGTCAATATTTACGCAATCAAACAAAATACACTATCACTGTGTATCTGATTCTGAACTAGAGCCCCTTAGAACACTCAAGTTATTAAGAACTCGAGGGGTCAGAAGGATGACAAAAATGACAATATTTGACTTTCACCAAACATTTGCAATACAGAGTGGCTCTGTTCTTGGAAAGGGGCCAATGTATTTGATTCCTTTTTTTGATCAAAGAGGATTTATGATAGGAAGCAACTAGAAAACTTTCAAAATATTTTGGAAAGAAGTTATATTGAGTTCCTTTAATCTTGCTTGGAAAAAGAAATAAATGGAGGTGCAAAGGAAGAGAAAAACACAGGTTTGCTACCACCTGTTCTCATTAAGAGAGGCATTTTTTTGGTACATTTCCTCTCACAGTTTTCTTTGAAAAATGTTGTCCACCTATTCATCCCTTAGGGAATTATTAAACAACATACTAAAATAAAACGCAAACAAAAACAAAACCATCCCATACAAAGTTGAAGGAAAAATTAATCTAAGATTCAGATGCTTATGAAGGTTTACGAAGGGGGGACAGACAGGGTAAGGTTAAAAGGATAAGCTTTCTGTTGCATATTTTCCAAAAAGGGAATGCAATTAGAAGATAAGCATCTAGTCAGTCCTTAATTAAAACAAGGTGGGATACTCATGATTCAGAGCAACGTTAGGTTGCCCATCCCTAATATCTGCATGCCAGGTTTGCTTAAAGAGAATTATCGGTACAGTTCTCATACTAATATTTTTATACATATTTTCCACTGGAAAGACATCAGTATGAGGAATATTTTGTTGCTGAAAATAAAATGTTTCTCCTTTCAACTTTTTAAAGCCTTCTCCCTTTCCAGCATTCCCTGTCCCAATCCTGAAATCCCTCCACCCAGAGTTCAAGTATTTTCCTTCTCTCTGTTAATGAAAACACACCACACTGATTGTAAGAATCTTACTAGATTTCCACTTGTTTTGCCTCAATTCCTACATCAATCCAAACAATAAGGGCCTTTAAAACATTCATAAATAACCTGCTGCTGCTGGCACCTAGGAGCCAACTGCAGCAATGTTAAGCAACAACAAATTTCATAGTTCAAGAGGCACAGTTAAGGGAAAAGGTTGCTCAGAAAATCACTCTTATTTAGCACAAAGATCCTTAAAAATTGCATGAAATCAGTGAAGTAACTATAGAAACCAATTTCTTCAGCTCCATATCACACGTCTCACACCTCAATTGTCTTTATTATCGTCTGCTGTCAGATCCTTAATCAGAAATGTGAACAGGCTTGATGATTTATTCAGGAGGGAAAAGAATCTGTAGGTCAAGTGAAAAATTTCACACACACACCCATACACACACCGCATCTTCAACCTTAGGTACTTTCATTTCATTCTGTTCTCAGCAGCTCTGGGGGCAACTCCAGTGAGATCCAATATTAAGGCTCAATTAAAATAAGCTCCAATTAGTGGAGCTTTTTTCTCTGGGGCTAGAAAAGTCAGGAAATGGATATTGGGAAATGTAAAAAGTCAGCTACTGAGAGGAGGCTGCAGACATAAATGAACTTATTTGTTGATTTCTACAGTTGCTATGCAGAGGCCTCTGGGAGTAAAAGCTTAACCAGTCTAAGCTATAAACTAAAACCCCTGCAGCTAAACATGAACTGTGTGAAACAAGGGCTCCATTCCAGAACAGAAAACTGCTGGGCCTAGAAAATTAAAAGCCAGAGGCATTTTCCATTTAAAACTAAATCCCAGTACCGCCTCCCAGCCAAAGAATTATAAGCAGTATCAGATTTACAAAACGAACAATTACCCTGGAAAAATGTAGCCTATTGTACAATCCCAGATGCTAAATCTCAAAAGTTTCTTTTTTTAAAAATCTCACATTATATTCCTCCAAGTATACTGCTGTAGTTTACAAAGACCCATTTCGAGACAGGCCTAAGCCTTGAAAATAAATTTTAAAAAGAGAGCACATAACTCATTGACCTCATTTGAAGTACTGCCCTTGCCTTTAGCAGTTCCTGTCCTTCCCCAAGGCTTCTGCAAATGGTATGCAACAGCAAAATAAACCCTGACCTAATTGCCAGGAGAGAGCTGCCAACCTTCCCTCAAACACAAAGACAAGCATGGTAACTTGAAAGTCCTACCTCTTTGGCTTTCTGCTTTAATCTCAGCTGTTCTGGATCTTCTTTATTAGAACGACTCTATCAAAGGAAAAGAAAATTTTAGTAGAAATTACTAGTATCTAAACACCAAAGCTGCCATTAAATATTTAATAAACGACAATTTTCTCTTGTGATTGAATATCTTAGCTCCAGGGGAAAATGCCTCAATCCAGTCTAGCTGCACTCCTACCCTGGTTTCCCCCGCCCCCTCATCATCTGGGCTGGCTGCTGCAGTTCTAGCCTGGAGGAAGCTTATACTGAAAATGATGCTAACAATGTCAGTCAGGTCCAGTTGAGGCATGACGTTGTTCTTGTAGGAACACTGAAAACTAAAAAATTGGTGGTACGTATGAAGGAAAAGAAAAAAAGAATAATTGTTGGTTTAAATGAATAAAAACAATCAATACTGGCTGATCTTCAGGTGAAGCCACTTGGGAAAACACACAGTATTTCAAAGACTACTAAAATCAAGAACCTGACTAACCTTGAACGAAATCTCTCTCTTTAAAGGTATAATTTCTAAAATTGTAAGTAGAAAATACATCTCAGTATTTTAATTAAAATATCTTATCATCTTTGGGTCCTCTATAGCACTTAATAGAATGCTGTGCACCATGTTCAATAATTGTTTATTGGATGTCGCCTTCCATAGTACAGGACTGGCATAAGAAGAGAGTTGCTTTCTATATATCAAGCTATGATGGAACAAAGGGTAAGGAACTTTATTTCTGACACCATGAACATCAGTCCACTGGAAAACATGTTTAGGATATGCATATTCTTTTTTCTCATCATGACAAAGTTATTTAACTGCTTATAAATCTGAGTATTTGTTCCATAAAATGCAACCTTGGCTAACTAACCTATTAACTAGATAGCTAACTAAATAAAAGCTAAAAGTATTTTCATATTTACTAAGTTTACCTGATACATTTATTGATTTACCAGAACCTTTGGTTAAAGGAAAATATAAGAGACAATCTTTAATTTGAGTGCCTACTAATTTCAAAAATCTTAAATATCTACACAAAATTCAACCCAACGCTGGTAAAATTTTTCTTCATTTTAGTTCCCAATCTACTAAGAAAATTTCATTTCAAGCCAATGATAAACTCTTTTATTATTCTAGTTATAGTCTCACCGGAGAATGAGTCTGTGTATATATGTATTTATATTAAAATATGCATTATGTATATACATATATGTGGGTGTGTATATAATATTTTGCCCCAACATAAAATGGGCACATTTCGGTATCAAGCCTTTGTCAGTCATCCAATATTTATACTGGTCATCCATAGTACAGATTCTACTCTGTGTGCCACTGTTCTAGCCCTTGGAGACAGATGATAAAGGAACTGTAGTAACTCAAGTAACTTACATTTTAAGAAGAGAAAAATAAATAATTTTATAAAAATGAAACACATTTATGATATGCAAAATATTAGTGATGGGCAAAAATACAAAACAAATAATTGCTGACACTGTTAAGTGCTGTAAAGGAAATTAAATAGGCCAGAGGCAGTGGCTCACATCTGTAATCCCAGTACTTTGGGAGGTCAAGGTGGGAGAACTGTTTGAGCTCAAGTCCAAGACCAGCCTGTGTAATGCAGCAAGACCCCATTTCTACTAAAAATTTAAAAAATTAGCCAGGCGTAGTGACTCGTGCCTACAGTCCCAGCTACTCAGCAGGCTGAGGTGGGTGGGTAGACTGCTTGAGCCTGGGAGATCAAGGCCTGCAGAGAGCTATTATCATGCCACTGCATTCCAGCCTGAGCAACTGAATGAGACCCTGTTTCGAAATAAAATAAATTTAATTTGGGCATGGTGGCATGCATCTGTAGTCCCAGCTATTTGGGAGGCTGAGACCCAAGAATCGTTTGAACCCAGGAGGCAGAGCTTACAGTGAGCTGAGATGGGGCCATTGCACTCCAGCCTGGGTAACAGAGCGAGACCCTATCTCCAAAAAAAAAAAAGATAATAATAATAACAATTTAAAAATAAAATATATATAATTTAAAAATCAAATTAAAAACAAAAATAAAGAAAATAGAATAATGTGATGGAAAGAGAAGTGTCGTGTGTACTTCTTTAGCTAGGACGGTAAGGAAGACATCTATGAGAAGTGATATTTGAGTAGAGATCTAAATGACAAAAAAGATGTAGTCATGCAAAGATCTGGAGGAAAACATTCCAAGCAGAAGGGACAGTAAGTGCTAAAGCCTTAAAATGAGAACACACTCGAGGAAAGAAAGATGGCCCATGTGGCTGAAGCATAGAAAAAAGTTGAAAGAGAAAGGCTGGAGATCATGTGTTGCCTTGTAGGCCATGATAAGGAATTGGGGGTTTAATTCTAGCTATAAAAACAATCCACTGGGCTGGGCATGGTGGCTCACACCTGTAATCCCAGCACTTTGGGAGGCTGAGGCAGGCAGATCACCAAAGGTCAGGAGTTCGAGACCACCCTGGCCAACATGGTAAAACCCCGTCTCTACTAAAAATACAAAAAGTAGCCAGGCATGGTGGCGGGTGCCTGTAATCCCAGCTACTTGGGAAGTTGAGGCAGGAGAAATGCTTGAACTCGGGAGGCGGAGGTAGGAGTGAACCAAGACCACACCATTGCACTCTAGCCTGGGCAACAACAGCAAAACTCCATCTCAAAAACAACAACAACAACAAAAATCCACTGGCGTGTTAGGAGCACAGGGGTGAGATGCCACTGATGTAACACTTTAATAAAAAATAAAAAATAAAAAAAAGGATCTGGCCACTCTGTAGAGAATGCACTGTAGGGATCCAAGATTGAATGCAAAGGCACACAGAGCAATTTGTAGACTGCCCTAAAACAACTGTTGTGAAGAAGAGGCTGACCGGAAAGATAAGGGCAGCGTGGACTAGCATCAAAGCACAGAAGATAATAAATGGTTGCATTCTAAACATATCTTTGCAGGTAAAACTGATCAGATTTGTTGACAGGATGGATGTCGGTGATGAAGTGAAGAGAGGAATCAAGGATGACTCCTGGGATTTTGGCCCAACCATCTTGGAGGATGGTAACTACAACTTTCTAAGAGTGTAGAGATCTAAGAAAAAGCAGATTTAGGGGAAGAGAACTCAATGGTCAATTCAACATGCCTAGTTAAAAGTCTAATATCCTAAGTTGGGCACAAGTTTGGCACATTCAAGGATCAGAAAGGTCAGTGTGCCTGGAGCAGAGTAGGTGACAAGGCAAGCTCAGAGAGGTAGGTGGGTGCCAAATAACATAAGGCCTTTTAAAATTTGGTAGGAAGTTTACATTTTAAGTGCAACAGGAAGCCACTGAAAGCTTTTAAGCAAAAGAGACACACATGATTTGTTATAAAAACATTCTGACCATAGTAGGAGAAATAGAAGAATGGATTGTAGAAGGAAAAGAAGGTTACTTAGAAGATAGTATAAAAGTCCAAGTGAAAGATGAATTAGACTAGAGTAATGACAATAGTGATGAAGAAAAGTTGGATACATTTTAGAAATAATATAGGAGGTGGTTTGGATGTGGGGAGAGAGGAGACACAGAATGGAGTTAAAAATGATGCCTATGTTTTTCAGTTTGAATGTCTGGGAAGACGGCGGTGTCATTTATTGAGTCAAGAAAATCTGTAAGAGTAAAAGGTATTTAGGGGGGAGGAATAACAGGAGCTGTTTTGGACATATCAATTTTGAAGTAACTATTAGCCAATGAAGTCATGACAAGTAGGGAGTTAATGGTATGAGTCCAGATTTTCGTAATGCATGCTGAAATGGAGATACAAACTTAAGAGGGAATGAAGACAGAGAAGGTGGCATAGGATTGAAGGCTACTAAATCCAACATTTAGACGTCTGGTAAAGAAGGAAAAGCCAAAGGAGATACAGAGCAAGTATAATACATTATTATAGTCAATAATAACTAAACTAGTATTTAATAATTTATGACCTTGTTTACAACACAGTAAGTGGAAATAAAATACCAATAATCCACCTCATTACAATGACTAAGTGCTTACTTATAACACTTGAAGGCTCAAGAAAGAGCATCTTTCTGTCCCATCTTGCTGCTCTTCCCAGTGCAGTGGGTGTCACTGTGGGGACTGAGTATATGGGACAGCAGGAAGCAGCACAGTGACAAGGCTGTGGTGCCCCATATCCTTACGGGGAGCTGGGGCATGTGAAGGTATAGGCCAGTGGTGAAGAATACAAGGTGGTGAGGGAGTGGAGGTCTCATCAAGGAATGGGTCTGTGAGCGTGGTGGCCAATTACACAGACAATGAAATGGGGTGGGGAATTTAGTAGTAGCAGACAGAGGAGTCAGCCAGCATGGCTAGTTGAGAGATTAGTTACATCGATTAAATAACTGATAGAGAACATAAGTTAAATATATCAAGGATAATGGGAGCCAAGTTTCTCAAGACTGGAGAATGTTTTTACAAACAGGGAGAGATTAAGGGTAGAAAGAACTCTGAGGCACTGGATTGGAGTTGCAGGTATCCATATGAACTCACAGTTTTATAATACACACACAGATATAGAAATAGTTACAGATGGACATTTGTGTGTATATATAAATATGTGTACATATACACATACCATATATACATTTCCTAGATCTGTCCACTGAGAAGGGCCTACATGTAATGACACCCTTTTAGCAATGAGTATACTGTATGACCTAAGGTTGGTTTCTGAATGTCATCCTCAACTGAAAAGAAGGCAGGCTTCTCAGAGAAATGACTGATTTCAGGGCTAAAGCATGAAAAGTATAAGCTGGGCCCGGAGTGCCTTGTGCCTGAAAGTGAGGACATGCTCAGTGAGTGATGGATGGAGGGACAGAAGATGGATGACTAAGGGATAGAAAGGCCAGCTGGAAGGGTCTCCCACTCAGGGGCAATTTGAGCAACAAAATAAATGACAGTAATGAATTACAACCTAGTAAGACAAAGAGAAATCATGAGCCCATACTAATATGAATAAAGAAAGAAAGCTCTTCCACATGGTAGGGTGCTAATAAAAGGAGGAGAGTTGATGGGAATAAAGATTTGACATTTCGCAACCATGACAGAGGTAGCTGATTTAGGCAGACATCACAACAGATGCTATGGTTAACAAATGGAGGTTTGATGAGGAATTGTATATTGGCATGAGCTTAGAATGCCTTCCTATGAAAAAACTAATTGATTACAAAGGGAAAAATGAGGCTGGGCAATATAGTGAGACTCTATCTCTAAAAAAAAACTAAAAAATTTATCCAGGTGTGGTGGCATGTGCCTGTAGTCCCAACTACTTGGGGGGCTAAGATGGGAGGATTGCTTAAGCCCAAGAGGTCAAGGCTGCAGTGAGCAGTGATCACACCACTGCACTCTAGTCTGGGCAACAAAGCGAGACCCTGTCTCAAAAAAATAAAAATAAAAAACAAGAAGTGTGGGAGATGGCAAGTTTAAAATGGAGAGAACTAGTAGGTACCAATATGACCCTTTTGATATGATCAGCTTGGAAGAGTGTAGCATTTCTGTGCATTCCTGCCAAGCATGCTTGACCTAAGTCAAATCATAAGGAAATATCAGACGAGCCCTGGTTGAAAGTCATCCTACAGAAAGTTAGGCTTATACTATTGACAACTGTCAAGGGCATAAAAGAGAAAGACTGAGAAACCCTAAAAGAATCTGAAATGAGATGACAACTATATGAAACACAAATTCCTGAATGGGAAAACAGACCATGAAAGAGAGACATGGTTGAGCCAGCTAGTGAAATCAGAATGGGTGCTGTGCATTAGATGATAGTGTTACATATGAAAATGTTCAGGAGTGGGGGTACATGATGTCTGAAGACTACTTTCAAAAAACTTAAGAAAAGAAAAATGGCTGGGCACAGTGTCTCATGCCTGTAATTCCAGCACCTTGGGAGGCTGAGGCAGGAGGACTGCTTGAGTCTAGGAATTTGAGACCAGCTTGAGCACTGTAGGGAGATTCTGTCTCTACAAAAAAATCAAAATTTAGCCAGGCGTGGTGGTGTGTGCCTATAGTCCCAGCTACTTAAGAAGCTGAGGTGGGAGGATTGCTTGAGCCTGAGAGGTGAATGCTGCAGCAAGCCACTGTACTCCAAATTAGTGACAGAGTGAGACTCTGTCTCAAAAAGAAAAAGAAAAACAAAAGAAAAGGAAAGAGAAAGAGAACGAGGAAAGAAAGGTAGGAGGGGAGAGGAAGAAAGAAAGGGAGGAAGAGAGAAAGTGGGGAAGGGAAGAAGAGAGGAACAGAGGGAAAGGATTAATGATTGTGTGTATAGAAAGGGTAATGAAAAGGGTAGAGATAAGGCCGGAGGCAGTGGCTCATTCCTGTAATCTCAGCACTTTGGGAGGCTGAGGCAGGCGGATCAAGCTCAGGAGTTGGAGACCACCCTGGGCAACATGCTGAAACCCTGTCTCTACTGATATACAAAAAAATTCACTGGGCATGGTGGTGAGCGCCTATAGTCCTAGCTACTCAGGAGGCTTAGATAGGAGAATTGCTGGAGGCTGGGAGGCAAAGGTTGCAGTGAGCCGAGATCGTGCCACTGCACTCTAGCTTGAGCTACAGAGTGAGACTGTCTCAAAAAACAAAAAATAAAACAAAAAGGGTAGAGATGAAGCAAATGCAGTAAAATGTTAAAATTGGGGGAATCTGGAAAAGGGGGCTGACAGTACTTTGTACAGTTTTGGCAACTTTTTCTGTATTAAATAATTTCAAAATAAATCCGTTTTTTTTTTTTTGATTGATTGATTGACTGATTTATTGGAGATGGAGTCTTGCTCTGTCACCAGGCTGTAGTGTAGTGGCACAATCTCAGCTCACTGCAATCTCCGCCTTCCGGGGTTCAAGCGATTCCCCTGCCTCAGCCTCCCGAGTAGCTGAGACTACAGGCATGCACCACCACACCCAGCTAATATTTGTATTTTTAGTAGAGATGGGGTTTCACCATGTTGGCCAGGATGGTCTCAATCTCCTGACCTCGTGATCCACCCACCTCAGCCTCCCAAAGTGCTGGGATTACAGACATGAGCCACTGTGCCTGACCTCAAAATGAATTAGTTTTTAAAAAAGCAATTGCTCTGTGATTAGGAATAAATACTCTAAAAAGGGAAGCTATCAGCAACACTAGAAATTAAAACAAATGGGCTTAAAACAAAAATTAAGACACCAGTGCTCAGCCTTTAAGATTTCTCACAATGGCCCCAAGCCTATGAAGAAATGTGGAGCTTCAAAATGGAAACTGTAGTGGAATTAGCTTTTACCTCATCTGACACTAACAGCCCAGGTAAACGTTTAAATAAGGGAGAAGGGAAATAAATAGCCTCGGCCAGGTGGTGGCTCACACCTGTAATCCCAGCACTTTGGGAGGCCAAGGAAGGCGGATCACCCGAGGTCAGGAGTTCCAAGACCAACCTGGCCAACATGGTGAAACCCTGTCTCTACTAAAACACACATACACACACATACACACACACACACAAAATTAGCCAGGCATGGTTGCAGGTAACTGTAGTCCCAGCTACTCAGGAGGTTGAGGCAGAGAACTGCTTAAACCCAGGAGGCAGAGGTTGCAGTAAGCTGGGATCATGCCACTGCATTTCAGCCTGGGTAACAGCGCAAGACTCTGTCTCCAAAAATAAAATAAATAAGCCTCACCACTCTTTTACTCTATTTCCACCCAGCCTGTATTTTGTTCCAAATTACTGATTTTACCCATCACCTTCCTGTCTACTTTCCAAATTTTCCTCTCTTAACTTCAACTTGGCATGTATCAAATTGGATTCCTAAAAAGACCCTGAAATTTTACAAAACATTTCACCTGAGGTTGAGGATAGGGAGAGCACATAGGAAATGTGAGAAGACAAAAGATTATGATTCATTAAACTAAATGAACTGAAAGCCACCACACCATCCTGGCTGTGAGACATCCTATTAGTAATTTCATTTTAGGAAATCCTCTGGAGAAATCTAAAGGCCTAATAAAACCAAGACAGTCAACCGATGATAAAGCCACCTCTGACCACATTGCCAGGCCACGTTCACTCATAAATCACACTGGCCCTTACCTTGGCTGCCTTAAGTAACATTTCTCTTTCTTCTAAATCCTTTCTCTGCTTCTCCAATTGATCCAGCTTTTCAAGAAATTTGAGCTGTGACCTGGTATCACTACACAGGATGTAATTTTCACTTGCCTGGGAAAAAAAAAGAAAACAGAAAGTCTTGATCGTGGGCCGCACATTCTACATTAGGTACTGCATAAACCCGCTAAAGACAGGAATACCAACATAAATAGGAAGCTAAACTTTCAGAAGGTAATGATTTTGTTTCTATTAAGCAAACATCCCCCCATACCCACTCCACCAGAAAAGAAACTTTAATCATCCTTAAAATTTGAGAGATGATTAACCAGTTATGTTTCAAAGAACTTTGCTAGTAAACATCATTGCAGGGTGCAGGGGGAGGAATTAAGCCAAGCAGATCCTTCCAACAATAGGAAGTAGAAACTAAAGAGTGTTCTATTCACCAGTAACCTAAATCTTTAAGATTATTATCTACCTCAGCAGAAATTAATATAAGTAATTAAATCTTAGTTTTGTGAAACACAAAAAGCAAGAAACAATCACCTCACTGAAAAATATACCAAAGATGAAAGTTATCACCTTGGTTACCATGGTTAGATTGGTTTAACCTTGACAACCAAATATAACTTCTATCAAAATACAACCCAAGTTAAGATGGCAAACATTAAAATCTTGAAATGCTATTTTGAGGATTACTCAGAGGTGTGAATTTGGACAGAAGCTGTGGTCAAAGACATTTAGTATACAATTTATAAATGAGAGCCATAACAGACATATAAATTGTCTTAATTATTCCATAAAATGATAAAATGCAAATTGCTCAATTTATTCTGTGTGTATAAAACAGTGCTTTCCCACCTAAATATTTTCTAATTTTCTTCACCTATATAGCTGCCTCTTTCTCCTCTATGAGTGTGTATAAGCAGGAGTGGGGGATGGGGTTAGAGGAGGTGATGGGACAGGGAGAACTTTCTAATCAATGTTTAAGACACCTTGCCATCTACTCATCTCAATAATTCAGATATTCAAGGGAAACTGTATAGTAGAAAAATCGAAGGTCTTTAAACAACAGTCAGTGCCTGGCCTGGAAATCATGAGTACCACACCACTCCTATCTTTGTTTTATCCCCCTGCTTATGGCTGATTCAATTAACTGGGACTGAGGGATTTCATATGCCCAAGATTCTTTTTAAATTAAATTTTTATTGTTGGTATTTAACTAGATCAAAAGAGTATTACATAGTTTAAGGAACAAGGATATATTAGTGCTACTTATTTTACTTCATGTTTAATACAAAAAGAATTCTCAACTGTTTTTAAAGTTAAATAACACAAGATAGAATATGGAATACATTATAAGCTAACCATAGAGGTTAAATATAATAACCAGTGGTTTCTTAAATACTTAATCTTTACCATTTTTGTGTTTAGCCACTCTGGAAATAGTTTAATGATGGGATTTAATTTAAAAGGGACAGCAAATACTAAATTAAAAAGGGGCACAGACTTTTTAAATTTTAGCCCAAACATATTCCCATGCTAAGATTCCTTCCTCTCTCTCCCCCAACTCATATACAACGACCTCTGACATCCGCATCCTTTTCTCTTCCATATCACAATGAGTGCCTTCCCTATTCACATTAAGTGCCTTCCCTATTCACATTAAGTCTATAAACAAATGAGTGCCTTTCCTATTCATATTAAGTCTATAACCTTATTTAAACAACAGTAACCCCAAACTTATGTTGCTTCCTGTATACCTAGCTGGCCTAACTGAAGACTTCACACACCAACAGAGTAGGGCTTTACAATGTTAAGGCCACTGCCTATTAAATGGTTTAGCCACGAAAATGTAATGACCCAGACCAAATGATATCGGCACCATCAAATGAATCCCATCTAAAGCAACCAGTATATACCTTTCAACTGGAAAACTCTGAATGAAGCTTCTCTATGGCCATAGGCATATAGGTGACTATAATATATCTTCAGTGGGAAAACACCTGGTACCCAGATCAAAAGCTCTGTCCTACAAGTCACTTTCTACTTATTTACTCAGATCTCAGTTTATGACTACTGATTAATTAAAGAATTATATCAAACCAGGTGAAAGATTATCAAAAGTAAATGGATGTTCCAGAGTGGAAAGAGATGGGGGGATTTCACTTTTTTAATAACAGTAACTCACTTTCATAAAATCTATGGGGTAGAATTTCCTACACTGTACAGATAAAAATAAATCCTATCAGGGATGAACTGAAATACAAAGACAAGGATAAAGCTGGGACATAAAGATTATTACAAACAAAGATTAAAAAATAACGGTTATTTCAAATTGAATCCAAATATAACCAAATGATAATTATTTTGACTTAAAAGGGCTGCTAATCTTTTGTTATTTTCTATATATGCAAAGGTAGACGGTGGCATCAGCTGTATTAACGAATGAGTGTAGGAAAAGGAAAGCTCAGGAAAATCAGTCAGAATAGGTAGTATACAAGACAGCAAGTTAAGGAGGTGTTAGCTTTAAGCTAACTTAGTGAGGTCTTCTAGGTGGGGGAGATACTATCCATTTTGCCTACTACAACTAAATGTTTGGAAATATGCTACTGATACACAACAAAAGAATTCCAGCTGAAAGCTATACACAACAGAGCTTTGAATGCCATTCAATAAATATTACTTTAAAAAATTCTATTCCATTGTAAATTATACTTATTATGTTTTATATAGAAATTGCCTACTATAAATCAAGATGTACTCATGTGGCCAGGCACGGTGACTCACACTTATAATCCCAACACTTTGGGAGGTCAAGGCAGGTGGATTGCTTGAGGCCAGGAGTTTGAGACCAGCCTGGCCAACATGGCGAAACCCCGTCCCTACTGAAAAGGGTATTCGTGTATCTCTGAAACAGTAGTGTGATTAAGGCAGAAGTAGGGAGAATACAAGTTTGAAAAACTGTAAGATAGTTTAAAAAGTTAAAGTAATAAGTCAAAAATATGTCTATAATTTTCCCACATCACAAAATTAAAGCTAAGCTGATAACAATCCAAACTAGATTGTAGATTTAGGATGTTAATTGTAATCTCTATGGTAATGGCTAAGAAGATATCTAAATACATCCAAAACGAAATGAGAAGGGGATCAAGATGGAACAAAACAAAAACAATCAATTAAACATAAGAAGCAGAGGAAGTGAGGAACACAAAACTTAAAAGGCATACAGAAAACAAACAGCAAAACAGAAGTTATTTCCTATCAGTAATTACATTTTAAATGTAAATGGATTAAGCTCTTCAGAGAGACTAGCAGAATGAATTTTAAAAAATGATCAAACTATATGCTGTCTACAGTTTAGTTGAAACCATATCAATATGTTGAAAGTGAAAGGATGGAAAAAGATATTCCATGCAAGTAACAAAAGAAAGTAATATCAGACAGTATAGACTTTAAGTACAAAACTGTTAAAAGAGACAAAGAAATTATTATATATTGATAAAAAGGTCAATTCATCAAGAAGATACACACATCAAACCAGAGTTCTCAAATATACGAAGCAAACAAACATTGACAGAATTTTGTTTTAAAAACAGTTCCACAGCATGGGCAACATAGTGAGTCCCAGTTTCAAAAAAAAAACAATTAGTTGGGATGGTGGCACATGCCTGTTAGTCTTAGCTACTGGAGAAGCTGAGGTGGGAGGGTGGCTTGCAGTGGGAGGGTGGCTTGAGCCCAGGAGTTCGAGGTTGCAATGACCTATGATTGCACCACTGCACTCCAGCCTGGGTGACAGAGTGAGACCCTGTCTCTAAAACAAAAAGAAAAAAAGAGTTCCACAATAGTTGAAGATTTTAATACCGCACTTTCAATAATGAATAGAACATCCAGATGGATGGTCAATAAGGAAACAGAGGACTTAAGGAAACAGCTGGATAAACCAACTATATCTATCAGACATCTATGAAACAAGAGCAGAATACACATTCTTCTCAAGTGCACATGAAACATTCTCCAGGATACAATGTATGTTAAGTCATAAAACAAGCCTCAATAAATTTTAAATGAATGATTCATACCAAGTATCTTCTCTGACCACAACTGAATGCAGCTAGAAACCAACAACAAAAGGAAAACTGGAAAATTCCCAAATATTTGGACATTAAACAACATACTCTTAAACAGTCACAAAGCATCAATAAATCTCAAAAGAAATGAGAAAATATTTAAAGATAAATGAAAACGACAACACAACATACCAAAACTTACGGAATGCAGTGAAAGCAGTACCCAGAGGGAAATGTATAGCAGTAAATGCCTACGTTATAAAAGAAAGACCTCAAATAAAAGACCTAACTTTACATCTTATGAAATGAAAAAAAAAAGGAGCAAACTAAGCCTGAAGCTTAGAAAGAACAAAATAATATAAAAACTAGAGTGGAGATAAATGAAATCGAAAATAGATAAACGAAAGAGAAAATTAATAAAACCAAAAGTTGCTTCTTTGAAAAGCTCAACAAAATCAACACATCATTCGCTTTACTAGCAAAGAAGAAAAAGAGAGAAGATGCAAATAACAAAAATCAGTAATGTAAGGGAGATCATTACTATTGACCTTACAGAAATAAAAGGTTACAAGAGAGTATTATTAACAGTCCTATGCCAACAAATTAGATAACCTAGGCAAAATGAAAAAATTCCTAGAAACACAAAATTAATATCTTTATTTATTTTTGTGTGTTTCTAGGAATTATAAAATACTGATATTAATGTGTTTTTTTTTTTGTCATAGCTTTTTATCCTGTTGATCACATATTCCTAAGTCAGTCCAGCAAATTTTCACAAAGATTTATGCAAGTGAGGACCTCAGCAAACATATGTAGTTTTTCCAATATTCTAAATGAAGCAGAAAGGAAAAACAAAAAAATATGATTCCTCCAGGGAACTTACTGGTGGTGTAGTAGCTGACAATTTCCTAGTTTCCCTTAACCTTTGACTAGGATATCACGGCAATGACTATTCTTTCAAATTCAAAATCTCTTAAGGTTACCTACATACCATCTTGTTCAAAATCTAGCTATAAACATTTCTTGAAAAAAGGGAAACAGTTATCTTATTTATTTATTTATTTTCATCTCACGTTACCTTCTCTTTTCATCCCTAATCACCCAATATATTCGCCCTCCTCCAAAACTACATGAAGTGCTTTTACCTTGATAACAGCAAGTCATTTGGTTCCTACCACTAGGGACACAAGCTATTCCTGCATTTAGTTTTTTTAATAAAAGTAGCCAATAACACTAAGTAGCATCAGTATGAGCACTCAATGCAATCATTTAACTTATTAAAAGGAACAGAGGATGAACAAGTGGAAACATCTAATGTAGAACATAAGGACTATAGTTAGTAATATATTGTTTTCAGGATTTCTGCTAAACGAGTAGATTATAGCTGCTCTTGCCATAGGGGAGAAAATGGGTATATTTGAGATAATGAAAATGTCAATTTGTTCAACTAAATAGTAATAATTTTACTATATATGTGTATCTTATAACATGTTGTATACCTTAAATATTAATATATACAATAAAATTTATTTTAAAATAAATAAATCTCTGCAAAACTGAAAGGCAAAAAAAAAAAAAAAAGGAACAGGAATGCTAGGAGAGTGCAGAACACTGAAGAGAACACAAGTAGCCAATATTCCATTCTAACGTATCTTTCCTTCCCCATCAAAAGCTTAAGAAAGAGAAGCCTCAGGCAGAACAGATACATATTTCAATCTACAGTGACATAGAAGCTTTTAATATCATTCTGAATTCCATTTTAATTGTATTTGTCATGTAAGCGTATCTAAATAAGACAAGAATGAGACTTTGATTTTTCTACTAATACGAAATACAAGTCCCAACCATTCCTTTAAAAATGTGTTTAGAATATCAATCCACACCCAAAAGACTACCTAACGATTTCCTTTACCTTGTAAGTAGTCATTCGATGCTGAGCAATTGCAGTCAGTTTTTCTAGAAGGCCTCGTAGTCGTTCCTGTGTTGCATGGGAGATCAAGTTCACAGCATCAGAGTTAAGTTCTGTAATGTCATGCTTTTTACCTGCGGAAGCAGAGAAAATCCATTACGTGTTTTAGTAGTGGCTGATAATTGAAATAATTAGCACAGCAGGTATTCTGTTCCCCCTGGAAGTCATACCCATTACGAATAAAGGTTTGGAGATTATGATTTTCCTAGTAAAGTCACAACTTCAAAGATCTTAGACATTACATTAATAAAACCTAGCCTGAAGCCTTAGAAAATATAGACATTGTTTCACTTAGCCTCTAGAATCATTCTCCTTGCAAGGTCATTTATAGGACAAAGTTAATAAGAACACAAATCAAGTCTACTGTTCAGGGAGGAAAATGGTAACTGCAGAAATTAGTACCATATTCTGTTAATTTTAGTAATTAAAAAAATAGAAAATTACATTTCGCCCTGTTTGACACTGTTAACAATTTATGACATTTATTTAAATGAATTCAGATTGTGAGTCTCTGTTAATGCCTTGTCTACAAGACATACCTATATTCCTTTTGTCTATTACCAATCATGCTTGCTTTGCACTAACTGATGTTCTGATATATCCACTTAGTAGTCAATTTACAAGTTCAAATGGGTTCAAAACCTCATCATTTCACCTACCTAGCTGAATAACTTCTCTTTCACTAGATTTCCTTTCCATGAATAAACCAAACTTCTTCCTTCTGCTAACTAGTACGAAAGTTTCAGGAAAACAATTTGGACCACATACTCAGAGTCAGAAGTTCATTTATAAATCAACCTTTTCAGTATTTAAATAATACTTCCCAGCCCAGTGAAACCACTTACATCAACAAAGGCCTAAATCTAAAGATACAGGCAATTAGGTAATCTATTTTAAATGGGCTTTTTAAAAAGCACCGCTGTGATTGTTTTCAACATATACACATGAATTTTTAAAATATTATAGTTTGATTTTGTATTTTAATTTATCTGAAATATACTCATATTCTCATCAAAGGGTGAACTACAGAAAAAAATATGCCTGAATTAAAAGTCAACAACTCAAATACATTCTTTGATATTATATAATGAAAGTAAATAGGAAGATACAAAATTAATCAACTTCTCCTAAACCAGCCCTTCAAAATGTAAGTCATTACTTGTAACAAAGCTGAATTCCTCTCTAATCTCAGATTCAGGCAGGGAAAAAAATTCTACAAAGTCAACTCTACTTTAATAAAACCCTCAGCATAGGCCGGGCATGGTGGCACACGCCTATAACCCCAGCACTTTGGGAGGGCAAGGCAGGTGGATCACCTGAGGTCAGGAGTTCCAGACCAGCCTGACTAACATGGTGAAACCCCGTTTCTACTAAATACAAAAAAAATAGCTGGACGTGGTGGTGCATGCCTGAAATCCGAGCTACATGGGAGGCTGAGATCACTTGTACCTGGGAGGCAGAAGTTGAAGTGAGCCAAGATCACACCATTGCACTCCAGCCTGGGCAACATGAGCAAAACTGCGTCTCGAGAAAAATAAAAATTAAAATAAAACCCTCAGCATAAACAAAAGTGGGGTCTTCTATAAAAGAAAAAGTACAATCTTATTTGTTATATTATTTATTTATTTTTTTTTTAAATTTTTTGAGATGCAGTCTTGCTCTGTCATCCAGGCTGGAGTGCAGCGGTGCAATCTCCGCTCACTGCAACCTCTGCCTCCCAGGTTCAAGCAACTGTCCTTCCTCAGCCTCCCAAGTAGCTGGGATTACTTACAGGCATGCGCCATCACACCTGGGTGATTTTTTTTTTTTTTGTATTTTTAGTAGAGTTGGGTTTTCACCATGTTGGCCAGGCTAGTCTCAAACTCCTGATCTCAAGTGATCTGCCCACCTCAGCTTCCCAAAGTGCTGGGATTACAGGTGTAAGCCACCGCACCTGGCCTATTATTATTATTTTTGAGACAGGGTCTCACTCTGTCAACCAGGCTGGAATGCAGTGGAACAATCACAGCCCACTGCAACTTCGACCTTCCAGGCTCAAGCAATCCTCCCACCTCAGCATGCTAAGTAGCTAGAAGCACAGGCATGTGCCAACAGGCCTAGCTAATTTCTTTAGGTTTTTGAAGAGATTGGGTCTCACTCTGTTGCCCAGGCTGGTCTCTAGCTTCTGGGCTCAAGCAGTCCTCCTGCCTCAGCCTCCCAAAGTGCTGGGATTACAGGTACAAGGCACCTTAGTGTTTGAAGAGGAACCTCTGAAAATAATTTCATATGTACTCATAAAACAGAGGTAATTCATCCAACATAAAAATATACATATCTTTTAAATATTAGAAATAAACAAGTGCTGAGATTAAACAATTCCAGAGTTTAGGGAACAAGCAAATGTTGTAATGTCTTCATTAAATTGGTAATAAAATACAACTTAAAAATTACAAAGTAAAATACTGTAGAAAAATTCCCATTTTCAAACAAAACACCCTTTTTAACAAAATCAACAAAACTGATTAAGATCTAGTTGGTGCTTGCACACCGGTTATGTGATTTTACTGAATGTCTGTGCAATTTAAGTAATTAGGAGAAAAAAAAAAAAAAAAACACTGCCATTTTATCTGTTAACACTATTCAAGTAGAAAAATCCTTTTTCCAAAAACAAAATCTTTGGGTAAATTTGTAATTTCTATTTTTAAGAAATAGCCTTGGTTCTCAACCATTCTACAAGGATGGAATTTTATTATAAATGGAAAACATCCCTAGAAATATGTAACTGCATTCACTCTATGACCTTACTTTAAAAAAAAAAAAAAAAAAAAAAAAAGGCTTAGATAATTCAGCAGTAAGAATTCTTGAAGTTTTCCATATTATTTGACAAGTTTGTACTTCATCACTAAGAACTGAAAATGACTCAAGCCCAGGAGTTCAAGATCAACCTGGGCAACATAGTGAGACCCTGTCTCTACAGAAAAATACAAAAATTAGCCAGATTTAGTAGTGCGTGCCTGTAGTCCCAGCTACTTCAAAAGGTTGAGGCAGGAGGATCACTTGAGCCTGGGAAGTTGGGGCTGCAGTGAGTTGTGATAGCACCACTGCACTCCAGCCTGGGCAACAGAGCAAGACCACATCCCAAAAATAATTTTTTTTTTTTAAAAAAAGAAGTAAAAATGCAAATAGTTATTCCCTTGTTGTGTTAAATTAGAGGTCACCAAACTATGGCTAACAGGCCAAATCTGTTCACTCTTTGTAAGTGAAGTTTTATGGGGATACAGTTGCATGGACTAAATGTTTGCATCTCCCCAAAAGTCATTCATGTTGAAGCTCTAATGCCAGTGAGATGGTATTTGGAATTGGCGCCTTTGGGAGACAATTAGGTCATAAAGGTACTGCCTTCACCCTAAGAAGAGATCAGAGAGCTAGCTAGTTTTCCTTCTGCCATGTGAAAACAAGCAAGATGGCTGTCTGAATACCAGAAAGAAGGTCTTCACCAAGAATCCAACCATGCTAGCACCCTGATCTCAAATGGCCAACCTCCAGAACTATGAGAAATAAACATTTGCTGTTTAAGCCATCCAATTTATGGTATTTTGTTACAGCAGTCCAACATGACTAAGACGATAACTGTGTCCATTTGTTTACATATTGTCTATGGCTGCTTTTGTACTATAACAGCCTAATTGAGCAATTGTGACAGAAACCATACAACCTACAAAAGTGGCAAATATTATCTGCCCTTTGAAGGAAAAAGTTGCTTATCCCTGTCCTAAGTGATCAAAAATGCTTTTAATGCCAAAAAATTTTCTATTTTATAATCAAGGTTTAAACCGAACTGGAAATAAAATTTGGAAGGAGGCTGGGCACAGTGGCTCATGACTGTAACTCCAGCATTTTGGGCGGCCAGCATTTTGGATGACCTGATGTCAGGAGTTCGAGACCAGCCTGGCCAAAATGGTAAAACCCCATCTCTACTAAAAATACAAAAAATTAGCCAGGCATGGTAGTGGGCACCTGTAATCCCAGCTACTCGGGAGGTTGAGGCAGGAGAATCGCTTGAACCCGGGAGGCAGAGGTTACAGTGAGCCAAGATTGCGCCACTGCACTGCAGCCTGGGCGACAAGAATGAAACTCAGTCTCCAAAAAAAAAAAAAGTTGGAAGGGAGGGTAACTGATAAAACTAAGTATCTATTTATATTTCACCAAAGCACTAGATAATTATATGGCAATAAGGAGTTAAGCTACCAATAGATTTCCCAAGCCATCACAGGAAGGTTTAGAGATGACACTTGTTCCCAAATTAAGGAACTGGTTTCTATGTAATACAAAATACATATGCAAAGAAGAAAATGGAAGAAGTGAAGGAATGAAGGAAGACAGGGAGGGAGGGAAACACGAGCAAAGAGAAAACAAACACATTTTACAATCAGCTCTTCTGGGCTTGAAAGCTCTAGTTTTTCATAATAATGTATTCGCGATTTAAATTAGAAATGTAGGCCAGGCATGGTGGCTCACGCCTGTAATCCCAGCACTTTGGGAGACGGGTGGATCACCTGAAGTGAGGAGCTCAAGACCCGCCTGGCTAACATGGCAAAAACCCTGTCTCTACTAAAAATTCCAAAATTAGCTGGGCATGGTGGTGGGCACCTGTAATCCCAGCTACTCAAGAGGCTGAGGCAGGAGAATCACTTGAACCTGGGAAGCAGAGGTTGCAGTAAGCCAAGATGGCGCCACTGCACTCCAGCCTGGGTGACAAGAATGAGACTCCATCTTGAGAAAAAAAAAAGAAGAAAACCCTGGTCATTTATATAGCATACAATAGCTAAAATATTTATTTACTGAGTACCTGTGAAGTAGACCTAAAAATTGTAATAATAATGAACTTTGTCGTTCTTATACCATAGGTCCATAAAAAATCAGAAACCTTAGGCCGGGCGCGGTGGCTCAAGCCTGTAATCTCAGCACTTTGGGAGGCTGAGACGGGCGGATCACGAGGTCAAGAGATCGAGACCATCCTGGCTAACACGGTGAAACCCCGTCTCTACTAAAAAAATACAAAAAACTAGCCGGGTGAAGTGGCGGGCCCCTGTAGTCCCAGCTACTCGGGAGGCTGAGGCAGGAGAATGGCGTAAACCCGGGAGGTGGAGCTTGCAGTGAGCTGAGATCCGGCCACTGCACTCCAGCCTGGGCGTCAGAGCGAGACTCCGTCTCAAAAAAAAAAAAAAAATCAGAAACCTTCACATTTTTGTATCAAGCCTTCATTATAAAATATATAGGTCTTACTTAAGCATATTTGAAGTTCATTAGTACCGGCCCCAAAAATTTGACATAGGTGAAGACGCCTCCTGGGTTCAAGTGATTCTCGTGCCTCAGTCTCCTGAGTAGCTGAGACTACAGGAGCACCCCACCACACCGGGCTAATTTTCTGTATTTCAGTAGAGACAAGGTTTCACCATGTTGGCCAGGGTAGTCTCGAACTCCTGACCTCAGGTGATCCGCCCACCTTGGCCTCCGAAAGTGCTAGGATTACAGGCATGAGACACTGTGTCTGGCCGTGTTTTCTTACATTTTCTTTCATACTGCAGCCATCTAACAACTACTCCTGGACCTAGAGAGGACCCTAAGACTCTAATCTAGTTCTTTTAAAGTAAGAATGGGTTTAAATTTCAAGGTTAAGAAAAGGGAAAGGGAGTTACTTTCTTTGGATGTCCCTGTATTTCATAAACACAAACATGTAACGTAAGTGTGCATTAGTACACATATATGCTAAAAGTCCAACTATGGAAGGAATAGGATGGAAAAAAAATAGTATACTATATTATATATTCATGCAAAAATACATTCAACTATTCCTCCATTAAGAAATATGAGTAAAATATTAACCAAACCCAAAACCATGTTATATTAATAATTTTTAAAATAAACTACTTCTTTCTGTAAAGCCCATGAAATCTTGATTTCTAGAATCTTATTTAAGTCTCAGAGTTCCAGGACAACCAACCCAGATTGTCCCTTTTGATATTTTCCCTCAAACAGACATGTCTATCAGGTCAATAATCATAACTCTACACTTACCGATGTCTAAAATTCTCTTTTGTAGAGCTCCAATAAAAAGAAATGGTTCATCTTTACATGACTGAATGAGTGTGCCAACCAATTCAGAGTTTGTTGCTAAGATGCAGGCATTTTCTTCATTAAGGTTGACCCCTGCCATAGAAGTCACATCATTGATGTCATCTTCATCTCTAATAGAAAAAAGAAGTTAGAGGTTTTAGGTTTGTGTGTGTGTGTGTGTGTGTGTGTGTGTGTGTGTGTGGGTGTTTGAGGCGGGGGAGGGGGAAAAGAGAGGTTTCAGAGAGCAAAAGAATTAGAGGTCTCTCCTTGTAACTAACGGCATTACTTTACTTAATTCATCCAATCAAGAGAAGTGAAGAATGGCTATCTTGCCCTGTAAGCTTTTGAAAGTAATTATAGCGTCTCTAACCACCAATGTATATTTAATAACAGAAGGATGAATCAGAAGTAACTTTGTCTTCTAGGTCCCAACTTTCCCTCTCTCATTCTGGCAAATGAGAAACACCAAGAGGCATTTGGAGTTACACCAAGTCGTCCATAAATCCTCTGCAATGAAAGACAAAGAAATGAAAACAGACATCTTTCTTTTCATCCAAGATGGTTAAAAGTCCATCAGCTGTCCCCAGTGTGCTCTACCATTCATTCCACTTATGAAACGATGGAAACAACCTAAATGTCCATCATTATGGAACTTTGTTAAAAATATCAAAATCACAGTGAATATGTACTGATGAGACAATCTCTGAGATTACTATTAAGTGGTTAAAAAAAAAAAAAAGCAAAACATTATGTATGTATTATATATTACCATCTGTGTTGAATACTATATCTGGGGGGCTCCATCTTCTCCTGTACCATCAATAAAGTACACTGGACCCAAGAAAAAAAAAATACTATACTTAGAACAATACATAAGAAACTAAAAAAAAGTGGTAACTGGTTGGCTCTAGGCTGGGAACCTGGGTAACAGGGGGATAAAGAAGTGAGGGGAACCCTCACTTTTCCCATTGCATACCTTTTTGTACCTTATGAATTTTGTGTAAAATGTTCACATTACCTAGTCAAATAAATGAGTTTTAAAAATATAAACAAAACGGCGGGGCGTTGTGGCTCACGTCTGTAATCCCACCACTTTGGGAGGCCAAGGAGGGCGGATCACAAGGTCAGGAGATTGAGACCATTCTGGATCACGTGGTGAAACCCCATCTCTACTAAAAATACAAAAAATTAGTTGGGCGTGGTGGCAGGCGCCTGTAGTCCCAGCTACTCGGGAGGCTGAGGCAGGAGAATGGCATGGACTCAGGAGGCAGAGCTTGCAGTGAGCTGAGATCACGCCACTGCACTCCAGCCTGGGCGACAGAGCAAGACTCTGTCTCGAAAAAAAAAAAATTATATATATATATACACACACACACACACAAAAAAAATTTATTTTAAGATCTAGTTATTTCCTTAGATTACTAAATCTGTAATAAAATAAGTTTGCTTTCGATATTCTTTTTTCACCTCTCTCAAGCACAGCCTCTCTACTAGTGAGTCAGTAAATTCACACAATATCCTGCTTATTCCTTCTTCTATGCTTTAAAGTTGTTTTTCTCATGGGAATTTCCCTCTCTTCTTATTAACTCAAATGTAGCGTAGCATACTGCAGTACTTCTCAAACAACAGTGTTTTTAGGAAACACCTAGAAAGTATATTTAAGATGCAGGTCTCAATGTCAAACACACATCCAAACAGTACACATGATTCTCATTTGGTAGGCCTATGATGGAGACCAGGGATTTGGAGTTTTCTATCAGGCACACTTAGATGATCATGATACAAATGGTCTAAGGACCATACTAAGAAATATACTGCATTATAAAAATACTGATTCTAAAGAGGTCAAGGTTTCAGTACCTGTTCTGACCATTAATAATAGGATGGCTGGGTGCAGTGGCTCACACCTGTAATCCCAGCACTTTGGGAACCCGAGGTGGGCGGGTCTCCTGAGGTCAGGGGTTCAGCAACAACCTGGCCAATATGGTGAAACCCCGTCTCTACTAAAAATACAAAAATGAGCTGGGCGTGGTTGCATGCCTCTAGTCCCAGCTACTCGGGAGGCTGAGGCAGGAGAATTGCTTGAACCCAGGAGGCAAAGGTTGCAGTGAACTGAGATCATGCCACTGCACTCCAGCCTGGGCTACAGAGTGAGACTTCATCTCAAATAAATAAATAAATAAATAAATAAATAAATAAATAAATAGTATTAATAGGATGACCATGGACAAGTTTCTTCCCACCTCTATTCATCCATCCCCTTTTATCTGTAAAATGGGAGTGAAAATGATCCTCTCATGTAATTTTGTATGAAAACTATATTAGAAACTAAAACCGCATCAGAAACTAAAAATTGGTATTATTCATTTAAAAAATAACAAATATATATTACCATAAATAACATACTTTAATGAAAATTAACATACCAAAATTTAAAAATAGAACAAGAGTGGTACTACCTTCTATTTTTACAAATCTTTTTAAAATCCACTGGTCCTCCTGCATTTTGAATGGGATCTGTTACTCAGGCATGGCTGTGCAACATCATTCATTGGTAATATGGAAAATACTGGTTCACAGAGTTATACAGTTCTTCCAAATTTAGATTCTAATACATAATCCAAAATTACATGTATCTCGACCAATTAGATCAGAAAATATAACTACTGGAAAGCTGTCAAACTCATGGTAATAGATATAAGTTTTGTTCAACAACCTCATTTCTTTTTTTCTCTCTCTTTTTTAAGAAACCCAGGATGGAGTCCAGTGGTGCAATCTCAGCTTTCTGTAGCCTTCACTCCCAGAGCTCAGGTGATTCTCCTGCCTCAGCCTCCCAAGTAGCTGGCATTACAGGCATGCGCCACCATGCCCAGCTAATTTTGGGGTTTTTTGTTTGTTTTGTTTTTTTTTGGCTGGAGAGCAATGGCTCCATCTCGGCTCACTGCAACCTCTGCCACCCGAGTTCTCCCTGCCTCAGCCTCCCAAGTAGCTGGGACCACAGGTGCACCACCACACCTGGCTCATTTTTGTATTTTCAGTAGAGATGGAGTTTCGCCATGTTGGTCAGGCTGGTCTCGAACTCCTGACCTCAGGTGATCTTCCCACCTCAGTCTCCCAAAGTGCTGGGATTACAGGCGTGAGCACACACAAGGACAGACTCGTAACACATGAAACAATGAATTATATATGATGAAAGTTAAAATAAGCTAATATACACTAGAGAATCTAATTCCTGTAGTAGGGAAAAAATGGACATTAAAATTGGTAGAGTAATATCATCTATGCAAATAGCACATAATCTGGTCCTATATTATTTTCCAAGAGTGTCTTTCTAAAGTAGTAAAAATCACACTAAAGCCCCTAGTTGTTAGAACACCTTCACTACCAGATATAATATATACATATTATCCATAAATATTTTATTATGTATCTCTAAAATATAAGGACTTAAAATAAATTATCACATAAAAATATTGAAATTAATTCCTTATTATCATCACATCTTCAGCTGAAATACAGTTATGCAAACATGCAGAGGTACTATCCTGTTTGCCACTTCTGATTCTGAAGTGCGATGGAAACGACATGAATCTCTGGCACCCTCTGGTGTTTAAGCACAATACAGCTTCCCATATTCGCCCCAGCTATACTGACAAGCAGAATAGAAAACAGAATCTTCTTAGCAGAAAAAGTCACAAATGAATCCCCCCAAAAAGTGTAAGTTAACAAAATAGTTTCGAAAAACTATGAAAATATCATTCTATATTATTAAATGTCATACAGTTTGGTCAAGATAAGAGCTAACACTATTCACTACTATTTCTTCTTCTTTAACAAAAGAGCCAACATCGAGGGTCTATTATCAGTTCCATTTAAAAAGTAACTGAAGTAGGTCCAGGCACAGTGGCTCACGCCTGTAATCCCAGCACTTTGGGAGGCCGAGGCAGGTGGATCACGAGGTCAGGAGATCAAGACCATCCTGGTTAACACTATGAAACTCCGTCTCTACTAAAAAAATATATAAAAAACTAGCCGGGCGTGGTGACGAGCGCCTGTAGTCCCAGCTATTTAGGAGGCTGAGGCAGAATGGCCTGAACCCAGGAGGCGGAGCTTGCAGTGAGCGGAGATCATGCCACTGCACTCCAGCCTGGTAGACAGAGTGAGACTCCGTCTCAAAAACAATAAATAAATAACTGAAGTGATAGTAAGTATCCATGGAAGCAAAATTAAATTTTTTTAAAAATCACTATGAAAAGATATATATAAAGCCATGTGTGATTGTGAATTACTAGAAAGTACTGTACAAAAATGAAAAGTGCATCTTTGTACAAAAATATCTAAGAAATAGCTGAGATTATAAATACTCCTTTTTCAAAATTCACCATTTCAACAAATATTTGAGTGATTATTATGAAACAGGCATTGTTCCAAACACTCGGTATACATACAGTGGTAAACAATCATTATTATAAGCTTTCACAGACAATTAAGAAGTGGGAAATACACGGAGGCAAGGGTAAACAAATGAATGAACAAAATAATTTTAGATAAGTACCTCAAGACAGCAGATATGACTGTGGAAGCTACTTTATATTGGTTGGTCAAGCAAAATTTACCTCTCTAAGGAGGTAGATTTGAAACATGAAAGACCATGTCATATGAAGACCAAGGGACAGCTTTCAGTGCATACCACACAGAAAACTGTACAGTGGATTTTATCAAAATCTCATGTACCCCATTAATATATACCTATGTACCCCCAAAACTTAAACATTAAAAACATTAAAGAAAATAATAAATAAATAAAACTGTACAGTGGGACCATGACTAGTGTGTCTGAAGAACAGAAAGGAGGTAAACAAGGAGCACGGATCCCCAACACCACAGACTGTGATCCTTGCAATTCAGTTTCTCTGAATATGAAAGACAACTTGCTTATGCAATGGCTTTTCAGTTTTTCTGTTACCTACAACCTTACCAATTCTAACAAATATTAAATTTTTTAAAAATTTCAGATGGGAATCTTCTATATCATAAAAAGAAAAATGTTTAAGCCAATTCTCGGCCCCCACGACCCAAATTAACCTAATCACACAATTCGATACAAACTTCATGGAACTGCCACGCTGAC